GATGATCAATTGAGGCCAGGAGTTCGAGACCAGCCTGGCCAACATGGCAAAACCCCATCTCTAAACAAAAAAAAAAGAAAAGAAAAGAAAAAAAAAAAAAGTAAAAGAGAGAATAAAAAGAATGCTGTCATCAGGAGACTCACCACTTACAACCAACACAAACTAAACGGGAAAAACGTTACTCCTTCCAGTCACCCACCCTTTGTTCTTGACCCCATAACCCCGTCCCCCAGGCAGGGATGGGGATGGCCGGCAAAAGGAAAGCTGCTCTGACCGGCCTGAGCTGGGACCCAGGCCAGACTGGGGTGAAATGCTGGAGGTCGGGGGCTGGGTAGGGAGTGGTGATTGTTCATGACACCTCCTCCCGCCACCTGACCACAGGGCCAGGAGAGCAGAGGGGCCAGCCAGAGGCTCAGCAGGGGACCGGGGCTAGAAAGCCCCCTCCAACCTCTTGGCCGCCTCTCTGTCTCCTGCGCAGCCCATTGCTACTCAGATCTGCAGATGAGCGTGGCGCAGAGAGAGACCTGCATTGGCATGTGCAAGGAATCCTGCAAGTGAGTGCGGGTGGGCGGGCACAGCAGCGGGCGGGCATGGAGGGGCATCACTGGCAGGGACCGCAACAGGCCGGACCTTCTCTTTCAGTGACACCCAGTACAAGATGACTATCTCCATGGCTGACTGGCCTTCTGAGGCCTCTGAGGTGAGACAGTTGGGGGCCGAGTTCCTGGCCCTCAGCTTTGGGCTGGGGACAAGTCTGGGCATAAGATGTGGGCTATTTGGAAATTTGGAGGGGGTGCCTTTTTCCCTCCTTCTCTCTTTCCCTCCTTCCTTCCTTTGTCTGCTTTATTTCTTCCTTCCATCTTCATTCCTTCCTTCCTCCCTTCCTTTTCCCTTCCTTTCTTCCTTCTCCCTTCCTTCCTCCCTCCCTCACTTCTCCCTTCCTTCTTCCTTCCTTCGTCCCTTCTTCCTTCCTTCATTCCTTCTCCTTCCCTTCTTCCTTCTTTCCTTTCTCCCTCCCTTCTCCCTTCCTTCTTTCCTTCCTTTCTTTCTCCCTCCCTTCTCATTTCCTTCCTTCCTTTCTTCCTTCCTTCTTTTCTTCCTT